TGTTGTCGAGGCTTTAATACATTCTCTAAATACATATTAACAAAATTTTGAAGCATGTTACGGGGTATCGCTACTGTAAACATTAGCTTTTGATTGTTCGTCAAACGTGCTCGATAACTTGACTAGTTCAAAAAATAATGTATTCCAGAGACTTTTTGGAAAAAAATATATGTATTTGGGTCAGACTAGCGATGCGTAATTCTAGTGTGTTTTTTTCTCTGTTACCTAACGAATTTATTCATTCTTGGGCTTATGATTGCTTCCTCTGAGCTACAACTTGGGGTAATGTTACAAGATCTGGGCTTATTAGTATTATACAGCGTGTACCCTAATGAAATGCGAATTTTTAAGGGTGTGAATCTGCATGAAAAAATAATGTTAGTTTGCTTTATAAACTATGGTCCAAAAATGTTTCCTTGCATTCTTCAATTATTACATTAATTTTCTCGGACAATAGAACGGTTTTTATTTTTTTTACTCAATAAATGGCGCATCGAAGGAAAACAATTCAAGAGCATTTTGTTTTAAATTAGACGCTAAACTCAAAAATAATTTTTATTTGGCAAAAAACCATTGGCGTACCATTTTTTTCTTCGAAAATGTCGAAGTCAATACCCCTACGCACAACACTGTTAAAGCTAAAAATGATTTTTGCATTGAAAAATATGCAACTTTATTAACTTTCACTACGTACTAAATATCAGTGAAATATCTGAAGCGGTTCTGAAAATATTAATTAATTTCCATTTTTTTCCTAAAACTTCAACACCCCGAGTTTTTGTAAGGGAATATTTTTGGACCATAGCTTATAAAGCAAACTAACATTAATTTTTCATGTAGATTCACACCCTTGAATATTCGCATATCATTAAGGAACACCCTGTATAGCTCATGGAATTATGAACCTTTGGGTTAATATAACACCTGAAACTTATCCTGTGACTTACATGTCGATAATTCATGTTTGCCTGGCGAATAAAGCCACATATATTGACATAATCTTCTTCACTGTAAACGTTTCAGCCACAAAGGTGATCTTCTTCAGTACAAGGACAAATTATTTGATATATTTGTCTTCCAAGTGACAGATCGTTGGTTTTTTCTTTTATTATCACATACCTACAAAGTGTGTTACACAATAGTCTGAAAGTCCCGTACCATGATATGACTGCGCGAAGTCATCATTCCGCATTTTGAGATGACACCACGGAAAATCAGCATAACCTAGAACCGCCTGGGTAGGCACTCTCTTTTTAAAAAGAGAACGAGCAGCTCCCCAAAACGACAAGCGAGAATGAGGCTATCTGCTGTTTTTTAATGTAGCAGATACGTCATCTACCCAGAGCTGTTGTAACACCCTGGTTAACTGTTACACAATCTTCGACTAAAATATTGCAACTGCATTGTTTTGCATCTAAAATGCGAGAAATACTACTTCAACATCTAAAGGAGCTACGTTGTTTGCTTTGGCAGAAAATAATATAAGACAGAACAGTTTGGTTTTAAGAGAGAGAAGAGCTCTGAAGAGCAAAGTCTGTTGACATAGCGGTAGAAAGGGTCCCAAATCTCTCCGTTAGAGGAGGCTCATCGATCAGTCGGATAACCCTGCTCTGAACAGCATCGAGCATGGATAATGTAGTTGCAGCACCCCAAACATGTGAGCAGCATTCGAGGATGTCAATATAAGTTGTTTTATTGACCAGACAAGCATGGGGGATTATGGACTTTTTGTGTTTTGAAATGTGTTAGAGCCGCCCCTGTGTAATGGTATAAGCCTTCTGGCTCTTGCTTTGTGCGTTGACATCTCTTTTCAGATATTGTACCTGTTCCTTTGTACAGGGAAAATGGCGCAGACAATTACGCATTTTCACTCAGTATTCTAAATACGAGTGTATTCAAGTACGACTTCTAGCGATTCTACATTGAAATGAAAATGATCAATGTAGTCGAGACAGAATATCCTCAGATATGTATGCAGTAGATAGTTTTGTTCGGCTTCTGCATCCTAGAGCCGTTTTGTTACTACCAGTAATCAATGACAAAGTGTTCTTGAAATCACAAGAGCCTAGTTTGGGTTAGTTCCCCCCATAGAACCGGAATGAGGCTATCATCCCAGACTGTGACTATTCGGGACTTTAGAGTGAGGAGGTTATACGAAAAAAGTATTTCTTTGCCGTAGTTGTAATTTACGAAAATTGTCTGAAATCTATAACCTTTTTGGAAAGCCAATTCTTAAAATGTCGTTGTTTTTGCCAAAAAGCACGAAACAGCTATCCATGGTTGGCTGTCTGCGGTCGGGTGAACGAAAGCAGCATGTTTAACTGTGTTCAAAGGCGAATAGACCACAACTACTATACCGCCAGCATCGTCAGCTTCCAGCGGTCATACTGCTGACAAGGCTGCAAAACGCAAACTGTGATATTTACACATCCAACCGATAGCTGCTACACATAGTTATTGCCATGCAACGACAAATTCTACCCATTCACACTGACACCCATCAAATTCAAGGACAAAGATGCGGTGGCGTTATTTCGTTAATAGTTGTTGACTCCGATCGTCGACGTTGAAATTATAATACGAGCTCACAGCAAAAGAGGTTGAACCTGAATATTTACTGAACTGTAGATTTCTAACATCATTTTGAATAAATTGGCCTCACAAGAAAAACACTCATGAGCAGGCCATTTTGGTCGGATTGATTTTTTTATACCGTTATAACGGTTATTGGCAACTTACTTGATATCGGTATAATACTCATTAAGATTATTTTCAAATCATTTTCACCAATAAATTTTTAGCTTTACGATAGTGATCAATAATGTTGATTGAGCATTGTTTACTGAGAAGTCTAAATAATGTAAGCGGATATTTAGATCACAGCTGGATTTGAGTGAAGCGACTGATTTATTATAAAGGGTATCCTCAAAACTGGGTCCTTACTTTAACGAGCGTATACAGGATGTCCGGTAAATAGTACGACAAAAAGATGGGGAAGATAGGCGAATGACAGATCTACAACATACCTACCAAAAAATGACACTAGTAAAAGTTCCACTGTTTTTGAGATTTAAATTTTTTTGTCTTGTTGCAGTGCCTATAAAAACAGCATATATGTTGTTTTTTTTGCAAAACACAGAAACTCTGGCAACCCCAAATGTTGCGAATTTAGTAAGTAGAAAACAATCTCGTGTTGTTGAATTGAGCAGCGCCAACTTCAAGCTGTAATTACAAACAAATAGTGAGTATTTATCTTCAATTTTTTTTACGTTTTCAGTGCAGTTTCACCGGAAGTTAATTTTGTTATTTCAAACGTAGTTAGAACACCCTGTATTCTCTTTGTATGGAGTCCATCTATTCGAAAACTCATTATTTAGATGTTCATGAAGTTCTCGTCTAAAATGTGGTGGAGCCCCATATTTGGGAACTACATATTCTGTCTCACATTTAGAGAAACATCTTCTCATAATCGTGTCAGATTGTGTCGAAGAAAATCTAAATAAATTTCACAAGTCAGTCGAGGTGAAAAAAAGTAGGTTCCATTAAGCATTTACAACGTCAGCCCAAGCATTTAATGAAAATCTATGTTGAAAATGAGTTCTTTTTACAGGATGCGGATTTTCTACTGCTCAAACATGATTTTTGTGGAAATTGTGCACTCCATTTCGAGTAAATGTGGCCTCGTCTGTACACAAAATTAATTTCGTATAATCTTCATTTCTGCCGAACTGTTCTAAAAGCCACTGGCAAAATGCAACTCTTCTAGAATGATCTTCAGATTGCAACACTTGTACTCGTTGATAATGATAAGGATTGTCTTAAACACTTTATCATAAGAAACTTGACTCATTGTTTTGACGTCTTTGACCATTTCTAAAATGCCTTCCTCACTTAGTAACATTTCACGTTGAGCAGGTCTTCGAGCGTGACCTCCTCGTTGCTCTTTTAAATATCCTGTGTCATGGAGTCTAATAACTAAATTAACACACATCCGTGGGGCTGGATGAGTTCTTAAGAGAAACCTTTACGTATGCAAACTACATGCTGCTGTTGCATTTTGTTGGCACTCTCCGTATGTTAGTATTATGTCCACCAATTCATTGTTTGCACTATTGAAAGCGTAATACACCTGATCGATCCAAAGACTCGCACTGAAAAAACCATACAATAACACAAAAAGTTTGCCAAATTCAGATAAATGATAAGAGTGGTAAGCAAAAAACGCTAAGATTTTACACGGCAGTGGTTGATAATAAAAAAAATCTGTTTAATAACATTCTTATTTTTTAAATGTTTAATATTTCACTATTTCTTTTATTGTGCAACTTTTATATAGGTGATTTTTGGTATATCAACTCTTTTTGACGAGTCCTACAAGCAGTTAAAATAAATAACTCAACTTATAATGAAACAAAGTGAGTAAAACAGGATATCACTTAATAATTTGTTTGATTCATCAAGTAAATAAAGGAATAAGAACTGCTTAGTTGATAAGCCGGCCTTCCATGATTTATATGACACACTTCTTTCTTCTAATCAAAATATATTCAAATATTCCTTCCTCCATATTGTACACGCACTCTCGTGGTTCTTTCCCTCCCTCAGTGCGCGCACAGTGCCGGAAATAATATTTTTGGCGATAGTTATAAATCAGAGCAGCCACCGAGAGCTATTAGCGGGTGCTTAGGCCGCACATAGGGCGCTTCTGGGCACACGAGGGGCGCCGCCCTACGGAGCCAGCCAACTAGCTCGAAATTAAGCAATATGTTTGGCGCTATTAATGGATCAAGGGGTTTTTTGCGAGGAGCGTGCATCATGGGCGGAACACTTGCAAGCTACAGCAGGACAATGTCGTTAAACATTTTACACATCTGAAAAATGCTGATATTGAGTCTTACTCTATAACGGTATAACCGTTCATTAAATTTTTGTTCTGCCCATCTCTGTGCATATTACCCAAATCAAAACTCACCGACATTGGCCATGTTAAAGATACTTACCTTGCCTTGCCTCTACATATATATTTCAACATTAACTTTATGACAAGAATAAGTACAGTAGCTTTGATGTACTCAATGCACACTGCTGCTACAATACATGGAATTTTTGTATCAAATTCCGACGCATTCGCTATCAATTACTGAAAGCAGCCCCAAGTACATGGAAATAAAGGTATTTAATAAACAACCAAATTACATAAGTCAATGAAATTTCCATGAATTTAAAGAATTATCAAATAGTTACCCCTTAGTAAAGCTTATTACTCTGTCAACGCGTACCTCTGTGACAATATAATTTAGATCCATTTTCAACGTAATTTTATCTTCTAATCTTTTCTATTTAGTCGTCTAATTGTCATTTCATTAATGTTGGTATTCTGTATGTTCCGTGACCATGTTCTTATATTGTGCTTCTTATATTTCTAAATGTATTTATTTATGTATTTATATTTGTTTATTAGTTTTTCTCTAATAATATAGATTTGTCTATTTTTTGTATACAACGTATTTTATAGTATTTATATTGCTTGCGATTTTTTAATATAATGTGAGTCCTGACTAATGTTTGTTTACAGCTTGTTATATGACCCGGTACATATATTGTACAGTCTTTAATGTAAATGTTGACACACATCTTGCAATTTTGTTTGCACCCTCGATCTAACCTCTCTTCTAACTGTCGTTCACAGGCTTGATGTATTTATTCTATTTATTCTATGTCATCAGTGATGATCTCTGCATATAGAGATTATAATTATTATAACATTATTTACACCGAAGATAGCCAAGCGCTTATATGGCTTATACGGTGTAAACGGACAAATTGATGACAATGTCAGCGGTTCGATTCTCAGTTTCTTCCTCCCACTTCTTCATCTTTTCAGTCACTACATAGACATCAAATACTAACTATTATTGAATCATGTGGAGTGACCCATTCTACTCTACCAGACCCAAATTTCTTCGAATGTCTCTCATGAGGTCCTGGACGGAATTCAGATCAATTTCTTTCAGTTTTTTGAGTCAGTCTCCTTGACTTGACATCCAACCTGACTTTTTGCTCATCTCACCAATCTCTCTGACCTCTGTGCAGTAAATACACGTGGTCTTAGACTTTTTGCGAGATCCAGACATGGTATTCCCTGCTCGCACTTCGCTATTGTTCGATAAGTGGTTCTGCGTTCTGGAATATTCGACTGATTTCAGCACTGGGTACCCGCCCAACCAACTTGCAGATACTTTTTCATATTTCTAATTTATACATCTTACAGCGAAAACTTCAAAATAAATAAATATCGACTGACAGTAAAGCCAATGAATTTTGTGCCAAGACTTTTAGGACATACGCTATATTATGGCATATGCCTTATACTATTCCTAATAGTATTGTCTACACCTAGATCCGTATCTTTAACTAACTTTCGAACTATGCTTCGGGATCTACACTTGGTAGTAAGGAAGCCATGGAAAGATTTTTTCGCTTCTCATGAGACAGCGGGAAACCAACACCAACCTTTCCAAGTCTTGGTTTGTAAAGGTAAGTTCCCATTACTCTCTCACTTGCTTGCTAAAATTGCTTATCATTCAATGTATCTAGCTGTAGTTTTTATTGAAGATGCAATGAAAATGCTTTTGGTTAGCATAATTAGTGCACTTTATCTTTTTTTGATAGGTCTCCATTACCTGTGCGCTAAATCAAACCATTTACGCTTCAAATACTGTTTACGGTACGACGTTCCGCCCACCTTTGAGGCCTTTTCCAAGTACAATGACAATTAATGACAATATATTAATTTCTCTTCCAGGTGATAGCTCATTTATTTTTTCTTTTCTCCATTACTATACAATGTGTTGCGACAACAGCCCGAATGGTCCTGTACCACGCCGAGGTCTCGCGAAACCATTATTATAAATTTAATATGGAACCAGATAAAGCTAGAAAAGGCTAAGCTCACCTGGGGTAGCATTCTCGCTCCCACATCCTTCCAAGCTGACAAGTCAGCATGAGGATATATTCGTTTTTTAAATATACCAGATTCGTCACCATCCCGAAAATGCTAAACGCCATCAAAGAAGACAAAACCCACCTAGAACTGGTTAGCTACTATGCAATGTTCTGCTGAAAAAAACAGGACACGTCAAAACATTTGTCAAGGGTGACAACCTTTCAACCAAAAACTACTTCACCCACTTTTATACTCGGCCTCCCAGGGTCATCCCCTTAAAAATTTTAAATGACAAGGAGTATCTAGTAACAGCTTGTTTGAAAGATATTTCGAAGTCCTTTATTTTGACCTTTGACTTTTTGAAATCAGTCGATTCGTTTTCGAGAAAAATAGAAAGAACGATACCAACATAATTCGGAAGATTAGACGTGGCAACAACCAAATAATAACCCGATTTTTTTTCCGCATTCCTTTCATCAATACAGGATCTCTGTGCATAGAAAAAAGTCTAATGGCCTAAAATCAGGAGACCTAGCAGGCCATTCTGTAGTCCCTCTCCGCCCTATCTATTTATCTGGAAACTCGTCGTCTAGCCATTGCCGAACCGGAAGAACATAGTGAGGAGGAGCGCCGTCTTGCTGGAAATACAGGGTGTCCGCAAAGTTGGGGTTGTCCTTTTCAGAAACAACTACCCTTGAAATAACAAAGTTAATGTGTAGTGAAACGAGGGCGAACAAGTAAAAAAAAATAAAGGGGAAAGTACTCACTCTCCAGTTGACGAGAAGGGCTAAGTACGTCTCTGCCCGAAGTCATACCGCTCCAACAGAAAATGAAATCAGCTGATGCGCTACCGAGCAGACGCAGGCGGTGGTGCAGACCACGAACAGAGGTAACAAATATGACGGCGTTGCCGCGTTTTCAGTTTTTAGGTAAACGTACTTTATAGGTATTGTTCGAAGTTATCCCCGTTTGATTCAAAAACTCAGGTGCGTGCACGACGTAGCCAAGCATCGGTGCAGGCTTTGAGAATGGAGTCCCTCCCCCGAATGAAAGCACCAGCTTGTTCAATTCTGAGACGAAGTTCGTCAACCGTATGCACTTCAGTTTTGTACACTAAGCGTTTCATTTCTCCCCAAAGAAAAAAATCACATGGTGTTAAGTCTGGAGATCACGGAGGCCACGCTACGGGTCCGATCCACCTATTCGGAAATAAATCATTCAAAAACTCACGCACTTCGCGTCTAAAATGGGGCGGTGCACCATCGTGCAGAAACCACATTGATTGTCTTACACTTAATGAAACATCTTCTAACAAGGAAGGCAAAATGTTGCGTAAAAAGTCTAGGTATTGCATCCCGTACAATCGATTTGGAAGAATAAATGGTCCAATGAGCATACCGTTTACCATGCCAGCCCAAACATTCACCGAAAATGTTTGTTGAAAATGTGCCCGACGGACAGCGTGCGGATTTTCTACTGACCAAATATGAGTGTTGCGAAAGTTATTCACCCCATTACGCGTGAACGTAGATTCGTCTGTCACCAATATGCACTTCAAAAAGTCCGGATTATTGTCATGTTGATACAACAACCACTCACAAAGCCGCACTCTTGCTGAAAAATCGTCAGATTGAAGGGCCTGTACACGTTGGACGTGAAACGGATACAGCCCCTCTTCACGCAGCGTTTGCCACACTTTAGTTTTTGATATTTGCACTTCTCTAGCCACGTCTCTAGTGCTTGTTGAGGGACTCTCGTCTACGCGATTCAGTAGTTCTTCCTCAACTTGCATCATTCGTGGTTGTCCAGGCCTCCCACCTCGAAATTCCTCCAAATGGCCCGTATCCCTGACTCTCTGGACCAGGTACACAAATCTGCGGGGCCTTGGATGATGTCGTCTAGGGAAACGATCTGCATACACTCGCGAAGCCTCTGTAACATTTTGAAGACATTCGCCATAAATTAACAACATATCAACGAGTTCATTATTGGTGTATGAGTGTGCCATTATTATTTTTTTTTTGAAACGCAATCGATTATACGGGTTCGTTTACCTCTACACGCGTGACCGTAACCGTCGGTTGAAGGTTGCATACTGACCTGACACACCGACCCCGACCCAGTTCTGTCGTCGGGTTGAGCCAGTGACCTTGTACCACTCGGTGATGACGCGGGTCGCGGCTACAGGACGGTATTCAGATATTTTTGATGTTGCAGAGCCCTTTATCTCGGTTCCCTTAAGGTGTATATGGTACTAAGATACCCCTTGACTTGAAAATTTTGAAGGGGATGGCCCAGGGGGGCAGAGGGTGAAAGGAGCTGAAGTAGTTTTTGATCAAAAAATTGTCTCCCTTGACAAATCTTTTACGTGTCTCGGCGTTTTTTCTTTTTATCAGTGGTCTTCGATAAATCCGTGGTGGGAAGTTATAAGTATATACATTTTCATGGATCTGATATGCGAGAAAGAGTACCTCGACATCTAAAGGAACTATGTTTTTCGTCTTGTGGGGAAATAGTATGAGACAGCTCAGATTGGCCTTGCGATGGCGGAGCAAAATATCGAAAATAAATAAAATTATAAATTATCAATTTCACGATAGAAATAAGCTTATTCCGTTGGATCACTTATATCAAACTAGAAACAAAATCAACAACATTAAGCGAACACCTTTTACCTCAAAAAGTATAGGCCAAAGATGTCATACTTACCTTTCCAGTAGATTATATAACATATTACCAAATTATATAAGAAATATTTCAAATAAAACAAAATTCAAAATTGGTACCAAAAAATGTATAATTGAAAAAAATCGACATCAAATTGCAAACATGATACGTATGAAAGAAATTTAAAATTAATGTAATAGTAAAAACCCTCCAACGTTCATATACTCATATATGTGTGTATGTGTGCATCTATTTATGTGTTTATTTGTATGAATATATATAGCCCCACGGTACCCAATGGGTGTTTAGGCCTTAGGCGTTCGTGGTAGTTGGAGTATAAAAAAAATGTATATATGTACTCGTATATATATGTATATCTGTATATGTGTATAGGTGTATACGTGTATATACGTGTGTAT